TGAAAACCGCTATATCGAAAAATTGAATATATAGAAAAATAGGCATTGAAAAATGTTCGAGATAGTAGTCGGAGCGACGGCCACGCGATACTCTACATTTTGCGTCATATCGTGGAAAGCAAAATTACGTTTCTAGCGATAGTAGAGAGATAGATAAACGAAAGGCACCTGGCCTGTGGTTAAGGACAGCGATTTCTCGTCCGTTTTTATGACCTTATACCTACGGCACAACGTATAAGAGATTTAATCGTGTCTTATTATTAAATGAAATTAGTATTAACAAAATACCTTGGTCTGCTGGGTCTCATCTTGCCGCGATCCCGTGCGGCACAGCATAAACAAATTGACTTTTCACCTACGCAGTTACCTGCGTCATCGAGGTCGTAACAGCGATTAGGTTAAAATTGAAGTCGAGGTTGAACATTCTTATTTTTTCCCGAAACTTTTATCATTTTACGAGAAACGTTTGATGTTCGCCGTTCTTAACCAAACAACCATTTCCGCGCACATCTTTTTGTGTCTGCAAAAGTAACGAAGATATTAAAGTGGATAAGATAAACGAAACACCCTATATACAATGTGCTTGCTTCTTCTACGCTTTGAAGTTAAGAAATGAAACGTAAATTTGAAACGAGAGGAAAAGGAGGGAGCTACGTAACAATAAATACATAGCTCTAAATAATAAATAAATTCCCTCAGTTTTTAGAGATACGGATGAATATGAAAAGATATAAAATCTTTATCTGGTACTTTTCTATACTTTCTGACTGCTTCGTAACGCATCTTTATAACACATGATACATCATTTGTATGTGCATACATAGTGAGGTTAGGTATGCAGAGTAAGTTCCTCGCTGGTTAACTTGAAGGGAATGTTGTTAATTATGCTATGTGATAATGGTATCGTAAGATGCGAGTAGTTATCGTATCGCCGATTCGTATCACCCACGTATCGAGGCGGAGACGGTTGTTTTTATGTATACATAGGTAAGTCCAGGAGGGATGGATCACCGGGAGAGACGGACCTACGTATATAGTCTCGAAAATATCCGCGAGACATGCGTTCTTTGAACGAGACGTATGGCAACAAGAAGATTTAATTATAGCTGTTTTAATTAAATTTAATTAAAGACCCTCTAGGTAGTAACGAAGGAGAGCCAAGTATTTCGAATAACAAAAGTTAATAATAAAGAACGCGACGAAGACTACAATGACGAAAGAAGATGAATGGATCGAATGTGTTTTCTGATCTGAAATTTAAGATCATGTATGATCATTGTCGCAAGAAAGAAAACAAGATTAGTATTTAATGGATATTTCCTATAGTACGCAAGAATGTTTTTAATATATTTTGCAATTTTGTAATACTAGTAGTAATAACGGTAGATGGAAACGGAAACTCTGTTTTCTCATTAATAAAACAATTTTTTCAGCGAAAATATTGGTTGAACTTTACTCTAGAGGGTCAAAAATTGTAGCCGATTCGAAACTGAGTAACTTTTATATAAAACATCTTTTATCAGATCGTCGAAGTATACCCATTTTCTTTCAAGTTTCAATTACGTCTATTTCGTTGTCACCAGAAGCTGCTACGTGTTTCTTAAATTTTGCCTGCATCGAATAATTACGAACTTCGAAAAATATTAATTACAAAAGAGGGGTAAATTCATACTAAATATAGAAAAATTTTCTTGTATTTAGTGTTTCCTGCAACTTATCTGTAATTGATTAATCTGTAATTAATAAAATTAAAATTTTTTTCGAACGAAGCATTCTCACATCCAAGTGCCTTAACTCTTTCGTATAGAGAATAAAAGAACGCATCAGTTGATATATATAAAGATATAGGATTTCATTTAAAAATATACCGATATTCTCGAAATCTCGTGAGAAAATGACTAGAGAAAAAATTCTTCCATCTTATTACACGTGCGCCTTGAAATAGTTTGTCCGTTTAAACACTCGTGTATAAAGTCCGTTTAAAATTCTGTTATTCCGTCTTCAGAGCTGCGATTGCTTAGTATATCTTAAAACTTCAAAATTTTTACTCGACGAATGCGAATCATCCCTGTATCCCGCTATGATTAAAAGATACATATAAATCTAGTAGGAACCTTTAATATCGAAAATTGGCGACTTTGAATTCTACTAATCGAAATCTACGAAGAACTTCTTGTGATGTTCGAATCTTGTGACTTTGCGATCTGCGGATAGAGATCTTTAGCTACGACATAGAATGCTTATTAAATTAATAGAAACATTTAATCAAGTAATAGCTCTCAAGAACTATTAATTTTTCCCAATTTTTATTCTTTCCTTATTCTTGTTTCCTTACCTTTAAATTGATTTTTAATAACGGATTTTATTTCGTATATTTATTTGCAAATGATAGAACAGAAAACTATGATCATTTAACTAAAACTATTTTTTAATAAATTAATATATTCGAACTAGAGCAACTAAATCAATGCAGCTAATCGACTGGTGACGACTAACGACGCTCGCAGCTTGTGTCAACCAACGACAATTTCAGTTCGTACTCTTTACAAGTTTATCGAGTTTTACATGATTATTTCACGATGCTACTATATAGTCTATGTGAACGTACACAGGAATTGTTACAGATGAGGGAGTAAATGCGCGAATGGAGGAAAGTATCGTAGCTTTTGATTTTATAGGAAAGTCGCAATAATGGAAAAGTAATTACAACGTGACACAGCATTTCACGGTTCAAGTAATCAAACACAATACTACACAAAACACGTTATATCGGACATATTGATCAAAGTAGTTTACGAAATTAAGCAGCGTGTTTGTTGTGTGACGAACAAACCAACAAATAGAAGGTGCCAAATCGATCGCATTTTTAGATTGATTCATATGCGTGTACGTAAAGCGGTAAACGTGTAAATATTGTTATTAAATACACGTTTGTTTTCATAACTAGCGCGGTACATGTGGTCTTTATTTCTATATAAATATTATTATGTTATGGGATAAAATAGCATATATATAAGAAATAACTTTCTGTTGTCTTGTTAGTGGAGTAAAGTTATCGCAAATTTCTGTTCACCACAAATGAACTAATTGGTCATGATTACGATATTAACGTACGTCGATAAATAATCAAATTATAAGCGGAATTATTTATTTTGCATCTGAGCTTCGAGATATAGTTTGTTTGACACTTTTTATGTGATAAAATGGAATAAAAATTTGCTTTTGTAGGTCAAAGTCAACTTTTTAAACTGATCTCCATTCGTGCGAAGCTGTAGAGTCGCGAGTCTAAACCATACATATACTTCTTTTACATATATGCGTCTGTACGTATATCGTGTCTCCCGGTAAAACGTGTAATCTTCAAATAGAAATTTTCCAATGTAATGTACAAATACATATATATATATATATACGCATATATAACAAACTTTTGCATCGTTCCACGACTTTGTACTGTGATTAAAACATTTGAGCATTATGAAATTGTTAATGCTAGTGCTTCGACATTTGATTTTAATTATTTGATCGTTACATTTTTGTATAAAAGATTCTCTTCTGCGTTCTGTTTTTATTTCCGATCAGACAAAAGTTGTATTAATAATTCAATCATTATTTAATATACTGTGAGGGGAATTTTTGTTCCTTTCTGTTAAGAGAGGTAAACAACTAAGCTTATCCATGTTATATATAATAATTATTGCTACTTCGATACGAGTAAACATCTTGTCATATTCGCGAAAGTTGTTCAATAGTATAGATATCTACCGTAAATTAAGAATATTAAAATCAAGATGAATTCTTGAGAAAAAGATTATGTTATATCTGAAAACACATATATTTATCGGGTATTACATCAAGCTATATTATTCCGATTTTTTTAGCTTCTATTTATATCTTACGTTTCTCTATATCTTTCCATACGTGTATGAAAAATGTATAGGATTTAGGTGTTTCGCTCTCGCATCGCAAGTGAAGTGAGAAATATACGAATTTATAGAATAAAAAGCAGCTAGTTTCCCGCTATTGTCCCACTTTTCTCTCTTCTCTGTACTCGATATTTTCTGTACTCTTCTCCACTATACTTGCCTGCTATATATATAATACTGCAAATAAATGCTAATACGCCATATATGGATGACTTCTATAAGTGTAAGTGTCGCGCATTTAATAAATAATTTTCTAACTGACAACATTCGTTCGTTACAGATTCAAACGTTTAATATTTCACGCTTTAAATACGTGCGACGATACCGTAACCGACGAGAACTTGGCCTAACAATAAGATGACGAACTGCTCATAATTTCTACGATCGATGTTACATGACCCCGCTTATTAGATTGGATATAGACAAACTGAGAGTTGCGTTCTGTAAATACGACAACGTTGGTTTCTACAAAGTCGTCGTAATAGAAAACAGATGTAAGCATTTCTACTTGTTGCACTTGTAATAGCATTTGTAATTCTTTAGCTTTCAGTGCGCGTTTCTATAATGCGTTAACTGCTCTGATCATTTTCTGTCGATATGCTTTGGTAGTTAGAAACGAAACATTTTCGTTCAAACTCGTTCGAGGATCGAAACGCGATCGAAATAAAGTGTTAACGTGAATGCAAGGGAAGAACGAAGGACAGGTTCGTCTGTTTGATATTCGACAGAGATACAGGCGACAGGCAGATGAGGATAAAGAAAGCAGGTGGAAATTGTGTCAGTTTTTGAAGCGTCAACTCGCGGTACGCGTATATATACGCGGACGAACGTTTGCCAACAGACGGGATAAAGTAAAGAGGACCTACAGTGCGTGTTTAGTTTGCGTGTGTAGAAGGCACACGATGATCGAAATCCGAAGGAGAGGATTGTGCGGGAGGAAGGTGAAAGGCAAGATTCATTGAAAGGACGTAGCGGTGCGCGTAAATCCAGCTGAGAAGCAGGTAGCCGGAGAGAAGAGCGCGATGCGCATAGAATTTGGTAGCGCGAAGGCGTGCGCGGGCCGATTAGGGGATGCTGCGCGGCTTTCGCAAGCGTACAGAGCGATCCAAGCGAGTCAGTCAGTCAGCCGCCCCGTCAACCAGCCACCTCGGTTATCACGTAAGAGTCGTGAGTGGGGCTTTTGGAAAAGGCACGCCGCTGCTGCAGGAGTGGCTTGCTGCTTTCGGTAGTGGGGATACTCGACGGCTCCAGACGGAAACAGAAATAGAAGGGTGGAAGCGGACGAGATAGAGGGACGCGGCCGGAGAGGAGAGACGAGGAGAAAGAGAGAAACCGAATTAGATGGCAACGGGCGAGAGGAGATAGGTTGTCGGCGTTGGACGAAGAGAGAACAAACGAGGAAAGGAAGAAAGACGGGGTGAGGGGAGGCAAGGGGCGAGGGTACGCCAGAGGCGGAGGGAGAGAATAGGATAGAGAGGGTGGCAAAGCGCTGGAAGGGTGAAGAGAGCGGAGGGATGGAGACCGTGAGAGCGTGAGAGGGTAGCGATTGTGCTACAGTCGCACCGCGACACCCCCACGAGTGAAACCGCGCGCGTGCCAATCTGCCCCCTTAGCCGTACGCACGAAAAGGGCCCGCGAACAGTGCTATGCTTTTAAGGCTACGGCCAAGGATTTCGTCGTTTGCCTCGTTTTCGTCGCTTTCGTCGCTTCTCGAACGTTTCTTCGAACGCTTCCTCGAACCCATCTCCGAGCAGCTTTTAATCGGGTAAGTGGTTACATCATGACAGCTGGATCTTGTCTATCGAAACGCGTTTTCACACTCGCTCGATGACCGTTTCGCTGGAAAACTTGCCAGCCAGATTTCTATTTGACGACAAATCGACTGTGATCGTGTACGGTTTAATTCGCTGGGAACCTGTTGATGAAATTTCCTCGGTCTCAAACTGACCGCGGTTTCCTTTGCTTTACTAGTCTCGGTGCCTCCACTTTCGTTTGTTGTTTCCATGTGCGACGAAACCTGTAAAATCCACATAAACGATCGAGAAGTGCGCGTCAGTTGTGTGACCAAGATAACCTACGTTTTGTCGTTCCAAGAAACTTACGTTCTGCATTGTGTTTTCCACGTGATTTTCGCCGAGAGATCTCGATCGTTGAAAAGTACGTCTTCGAGATCCGTTTTGACAAATTCTTTTACGTTGTCTTAATTAACGAATTTAAAAACGTCGACGATGCCGTTAATTGCAAAAAGTTTGTCTCTGTTTGCTCCGTCTGTTCATCCGTCAAGTGCTTCTATTTACTTCGTAGTAATAAATTTACGATTCGATCTAGATCGACCAGTGAATGGTGATATCGTGAATTATTCCATGCTAAACTAATAAAATAAATGGAACGATTTGCTCCAGTGTGGAAATTACACGTTTGGAAATATCGTCGTTCATGTTTGTTGAGTCATAGTTATGATATCATAGGATCTTGAACTTGCTTGAAAGTGTTTTAGAGAAGAGAAAGTGTTGATAAATAAAGTATCAAGCGATCCGATCTGACTGATACACTACACATACCTGTTGAAAATCCTTCAAGTTATTCCAACGATACGATGCTTTCGTCGCTAATATCGATTACTATATGCTTCAAAGTCGGTTTCTAATAAAGACCATTGCTTTGAGAGCGGAACAACGGAAAAGACTAACGGATACTAACCGGGAAAGATTATTGGATACCTGAATATCTGAATAGTAGATACGGGACTGACACTTTTAAAGTAATTGCTGCCGAACAACTTCGTTAATATTCGCGTTGTCTATCAGCCTATAAGCGACAATTTATTAATCTGCTTGTTATCGTGTAATTATTCTATTGGAACAATCGATTTAAAACGAAAACTAAGCTATTCGCAATTTGAAATAGTATTATTTCTGTGGAGCGTAATTTGAATTTTGTATATGTAAATTTTGTAGAGAGGTGTCGGATAAAAGACTAATCGCTTGATCAAAAATACAGAAAATTCAAGTGGAAATAGCGAAGCGTGTGAGAGAGGTAGGTAATTCCTTTAAAGAGTAACTGCAGAGGTCTTCTAAGTGAACACAAGAACCTTGTATGCACGAATGCCGTAGACTTCTTTTGTTCGTGGCACCCTTTGCCAATTCATTCAGTAGCGACATATATGTAGCGCTCTTTCCCGAGCCACTATGCTCGTTCCGAGCACCTGTGGACCGGCGTCCCTCGTGAACTCTTCTTTGGAGAACTGCCAATGACTTCCGGCTGACTCGTAGAACCTGTTGATGATCATGACTGCTTTCACGTTTTATGCCACTGGATTAATTTAATTCTTTCACACCTTTCATCCAAATGTCTTCTCTTTTTTCACTTTTCATCCACTTATTGCCACTACGAACATATCGCTTAGACACATACGTAAAAGCGTTACAACGATAATTCTGATTTATCATGTCGTTCCATTTACGTCGATATTCTATATAGATCTCACGAATCGGAGTTTACGCTTCCAACAATTTGTACAATTTAATTCGATTTACTGACAATAAGCTCGACTAGAAAACGTTAATTACAAGATATTACGTTTATAGCGTTATCGTGGAAAAATTGCTTTTATCTATCATTCGTCGAATCCCGAGTGACATTCTCTAGGAGAACGAAACGACTAACGTTCTGTATTCCTTGTATGCATATGTGTATCCGTATTGTTTAAAATTATAATTGTCGTTTGTCTTATAAAAACGTTCTTGCCTGTTTTCAAACTGGAATTAAAGGATGAAGAAATAAGAAACACTCGTATTCGGCTGCATCGGAGGTTTTGCAAAAGAGAGAGATTTTGCACAACATTGGATAAATGTGATTTTCTTACACGCTAATATAATTGGAATATGTGGAATATAATTTTATGCATCTATAGGAAACCTGAAGTTGCAAGAATGTGGAAGATGTACATAATATGGTAAAATATGCGCAATATCCAAAGCGTAGTAGTTGTTATAATAATCATTTGCATAAAAATCCGCAGTCGATTTATTAAAATGTAAATTAACAAGGATAAGATAGCGATGTTAAAATTACAAAAGAAAACATATTTTTGATAGATTTCGTTGAGGTAATTAAACATTAAATTTACGTAAAACAAATTTATTCGGTAAGATCTACGTGTAATTAACAAAAGTAAACAATCTGCAATAATGTTAGTTAACTTTAAGAATTAAGTACGCCTTCTCTCATTTTCAGCAGACTTATTCTATCGGAAGATGATGTAACAGAATCGATTGATGATACAAATTTCTACAAATTGTACAAAAATTTCATATACTCGAATTTCAGTTTCGCAATTATCGTCCATGTATACAAAGTGCTTCCAATTTTGTGTTTTAAAATTGTAAACTATGGGAGTATAATTTACTGTAACACGCAACAGAAATAACTAGCCACGAAGATACTTCTGTACAACATTAACTATTTATTCGCTGATATTTAGCAAAATTCTCAGCGTCCGAAATAAACCTCGTACTACATCGATGTCAAATTTATATCAACCTACCATGACGGCATTTCTAAATAAGAATTTAAGCACTTTGAGTAATTGCGTTTACTGGCGGTAATAGAGTAAATACGATCATGCTGTCTACGATGTCCTACGCGCATACCTATGTCAAGCTACGTACAAGATTCAAATTTCAAATATGCGAATCTCCGCGTAACAGTTGTTTCTTAGTTTCATTTACAAAAACAATTTAAAAAAAAATGGCAGGTGACGCTTTCCAATTTCATCGGAATCTCCTACCTTCTCGAAACTTCAATATGTTAGAAGGGCTTGTTTGAAAAGTTGTTACTGGAAATATCATCATCGATAAATTCATCCTATTCGTTTTTGATTCGGCTAGATTTTGCAACAGTTTCGGAGTAACGCGGTTCCGGGCCTCCGATATCTCAGCTTAGATTTCGGGAACGGTAATCAATTGGCGACAATTGTCGTATACGTCACGCATAAGTTGACTCCAAGGATTCTCGATAGGGATAATAAGGATAAGAGATGTCTGATTTTTCTTTCTTGCAGTTACTGCCTAGAGTTTCCAGGAACGTAAACTGTCGCATTATGGCGCATAAATGTACCCATTGGAGAACGGCGCGAGTGTGATAGAAAATGTGAATCTATACGAGTACGGACGAACGCCGAAGTTGTCTTGCCGAATGCCGAAAGGCAAAAATTTACTAAAAAAAAAAAAGCTACCAAAATTTCCTTTAGGAGAATAAGGTGATTCGCGCTGCAAACCGTATGAATAGCGTACAAGACGGTCTGATCCATCTAGATTAAACTTCTTCGCATCCTAGAATGTCATCCAAATGAGCGAAAATTAGAGGAAATAATAATATACTGTTTAAGCGTTAACTATTTATATCGGTATGGAATATGCTAGTGTTTCTTGGTCATCGCCACAACCTTTGTCGTTTCTTTATTTTGAAAATTAAGCGAATCGTCGCGTTCCCTTTGTTAAGTTTACAGCTTCATCGTAAAGAACTGTCTTTACACGCTCGGTTTAAAGTAGTGGTTTCCCCCATGCCACTTTCGGGGCATATTGATCACTTTTCGTGACAAATTTGTCGACGAGATAGTTTAATATCGTTGCCGAATCGAAAACTGTGCAAGATCTAGTTGAATGAATTACGAAAAGGATGAATTTATTAATAACGTCTTAGTTTGTTAACCCTTTGCACTCCTATGTCGAGTGTGATTCGACATCGGTTTTTATCTCAGGAGTTCCTCTGTCTTTCAGTTCCACATTTCTTTTGTGAAACGTGCGAAAGAAAACCAGGATTGCATCCTGGAAATTGTTTCAAGATATATGATACACTTAAAAATTACAAAATACAACAGTAGTGTGAATAAAATTGATATTTAAGTGAATTTCTTTCTTTTTTATCTATTTAAATTGTCTTATTTTTTAGTTATAGTAAATTTCAAATAAAACAGTTAAGCTTCGGGAGCTGCTGGTAACGAAATTGAAATAAAATTCGGAGCGCAAAGGGTTAAAGTTTCTGTTTCTCGGTAACTAGACCTATTATTTTGTTAGGATCGAAAGTTGAGAAAAATCAGGTAAATGATTACTGTACAAAAGAAGACACTACATTCAAATAAAATTTTATACAAATTTTCCCTGATTAAGCTAAATGCTGAAATAAATTTTAGTCGAATCGGTTGACTAGTTGCAGAATTATGGCCGAAAGTTTTTCGTCTATGGCTAGTGTTTTGTGTTGCGAAACTTGATGCAACATCATGCGATTAAAGAATTATTGCTGCTACGAACCTTTACACGATTTCACGAAGAAATTGGAAAGATTTTCCGATTAACCGTTTCAACGAGTAACCAAGTCGAACAGAAACGAAATAGGTGAATTGGTTGTCAGTTCTAATCGCACGGCAGTCAGGGACAATGACATTTCAATTTCTCCGATCCTTTATGTAGCATTCTTCGTTTTCGTTACCAAGTCCAACTACTTTTTGTGTTTTTAATATAATCCATATTCTCGATTCTATCTGCGAAGAAAAAGAAAAGCATTAATAAGTTTACTTCCTACATGTCTTCTTTCTTTCTTTTGTTCGCTCAGCAATTTTATTCGATTACGTGTTCAATCTCGTAATACGTCGTTCTTTCTGTCATCATTCTACTCTGTTTACTCAATGTTTACTTTTGAAGTGGACGTTGCATGGAGAATCTACAGGAACATTATATGTAAATTTTAAAATCAATTTTATATCTA